ATGTGCAAAGTCCAAGGCGTGAGGGCAGAGTTTTAAGGATAATATAACAGCAACTACAGTAACTACTCATTTCACCCCAATCTCCCATTCAGTTCTAAAAGTATAACTTGGGTGGAAAGTAACTACATCCTTTTGTAAAGGTCTAAATTTGTATTACATAATCATCATGAATCATTACTGATCTCTGTGGTTAAATTAGGTAATGTCACCTTTGCTGCAGTATCACTGAATCTGAATCAGTCTGTCTGATTTTTTTATGATCAGTCACAGTAAGCCTACATAAATCCAACATCAAATGAACTTCTGTCATGTAATGCCATGGTGCCAGTGTGAACATAATTAAATACACAAGAAATCCCACATACTGTGAGTCTGATGAGTCATCATTATCCTGCCAAAGAGGAGACAGGCCGTGGCGAACAGGTGCAGCTCCATAGCGACTGGTATCTGTCCGATCAGCTCAATAACCTTCACACCACCCTATGGCCTGGCAGAGTTCAACATGGGACAACATGACAAAGTTGAACATGCAGCACAAGATGCTTAAAATCTATAGACACACAGTAATCATGCAACCTATAACTGCACCAGATATCAGCCTAATGTAGCGCAGTAGCCTATCACCAGGCCTGGATGTGGTGTTCTGCCTGCAGCCCAAATGCAGATAGGACTACGCCCATGCAGTGTCTTAGCGCTGCAGCAAACTGCCGAGCTGCCCTCACTGTATATGCGCACACTGTGTCCTTACTGCGGCTGGAAGAACCGGACAGTCATGCAGGCGTGCTTCTGACACATGCAAAACGGATCTGAAAACGTTAGTTACAGACAGGACGACGCCTCATTATTCCCCCTCCACTGCAGATGACAGGACCGCTCTTACCTGATGTTTGGTCCCTGTCCCGAGGTTGAGCTGCGCCGGTGTGCCGGTATGCGGAGCAGCATCAGCAGCATCAGCAGCTTCAGCAGAGCAGCGCTGACTTTTGGACTGAGGGATACAGTTATTGCTCTGTACGTCCTCACTCACACAACACACACCACACACACACACACACACACACACACACACTCACACATACACATAGGCTGTTATCCCATACATTACGCTGTCCCCAGAGCAAGGACCCAGGAGTAACCCAATTTTGGGGATGAAATTAATTTCACTTTGCTTCCATTGATCAGGTAATAAAGTTACTGGCCAGACCAGATATGTTATGCTCTTAACCCCGCCGACTAATGAGAAGGTGGTAAAGTCTTTATATTGGAGTTTCTACATTACAAAAGTTGGGGAACTGGCAAGGAACCAACCACTTTGCTTTTCATATCACTACACACCCAGATGCTCTCTTTTTTTGGGGAGGGGGGAGACTATTGTATCATACCTTGGTGCAGAAGAAGAGTTCCCTCTGCAGGACAAAAATGGAAATACAGGAATCAATGTTTTAGTGACATTAGTGTAAAAAGTTAGGTGTGGGTGAAGCATGATGCACACATGCTCAAACATTCAAACCTCCTTTGACTTCCAAAGCCCCAGGTGTAAAGTGTAATTATACATTTGTTCCTTACCACTCATTCACTTTAGGCCTGTGGAGGGTTTAACATACAGGCCTTCCTCTGCAGTGGTTTCTCCTCTGCAACTTTGGCAGCGTTAGAGACAGAGCACTAAGAGTGACAAATGATCTTTCTCTTATAACATTCCCTTTGTTGTTTAGAGATTCCACAGATCACAAATGCAATGCAGTTCATACTTGCTGCAGCATCTGGAGAGGGGAGTGGTGTTCATTGTAAACTAATTCTACAGACCAACACTGACACAGAAATTCGCTCTCAATCTGCATAGAGACACAAAGTAATCAGACAAAGTGCAAACTACACCATACAGTACGTTGCTGTAGCCAACTAGAGTAATAATAGCAGACCTGGATGTGCTGTTTTGCCTGCAGCCCAATGCAGGGTGCAGATGAGACTACACCAATGCAGTGTTTTTACACTGTGTTTCGGGTCAGTGGGACATTAAGCACTAAGATGCAACATTGTTTGGTATTGTTACACAGTGAAAATATTACACAAATATTTAATATGCTAAATTGTAATTTAATAAAGATACATATTTAATGTTGTAATGATTGATGAAAATGCTATTATAGGAATAGGAAAAACGTTATGTAATATATCATTTCAATAGTTCAAATGAACAACCTCCACTGTCCAATAATCATAATGATATTTCCTTGTTAGTGAATTTTATCTTTTAACACAAATTAATTAAATAAGGGCCTGGATACATACATACAGACCTAGAAGTTGTAATTACAGAGTTTGGACACAATAGAGAGGTCCCTTTCTTATTTTGGAAAAAATACATAGTATATTAGTAAATGGAGAAAGACAAATAATTTTTTGATACAGTTTGAATTGTGCCATGAATTACACAATTGTTTGGTAACTTTTGTCAAGAAGTTTGAAGTGTTGAAATATGGGACAGTAAAAATACGTTTAAATACGAAAAACAAGCCATGGCTATCTCTACAAGCTAACAGTACCCGGAGGTGCTGCAGTTTCGATACCTGAGTTTCGTACTGGGATGTAATCACAGCAACAAGTTTTCCTCGATCGATCGTTTCCATTCTGATAAAAGGATGAGTAGCTGCAAACACAATTTTTTATTTTATTTTTTTGTTTTAAACTTTATTAAGTTTATTCAAGTAATAAACAGGCATCATCAATATGGATGCTAAGTTTACCTAACATAAATCCATCCAAGCAGGATATATTAACAGAAAAAATCTCAAATAATAGTTAACTTAAAGGGGATTTAATTAAGATATAATGCAAGTAATTTAGACCGTCTTCAGGCACTTCTCTTTTCCAGTTCTCTTAAGGATTTTAAGAAAATCTTCAGGTCATTACATAAAAATTCAACATCTTTGTTTTGCATAAAAACACCAAACTTAACATTATGATATTCAAAACCAGGTATTCTTTGTAATGAACCACGCATGCATTCTGTTAGCTTATCAACATTACAGGTGTAAAAAAGATGTTCCTGAGACAAAATGTACATACATTACTATCTAAATTAAATCTTACTCTTAAGAATTGGATGGATAAATATCGTTAATTGTTTTGGAATGAACCTCCTTCACTTTTACAGTGTCACCCTTGAAAACATTTAAAGATAAAACATAACAGGAAGAGGAAAGCATTGTTTTGTAATTAGTTATCTCAAAATTGTGTTATCACATTTACTATCTAAAATCTTTTAGTTATCAATCAACAGATTAGCAGATGTAAATAGTAAATATAGAATAGTGTAACATTCTTTTTATCAGATTGATCAAAGCCACAGAAATAGTGTTGACTACTAAAGAATATTGTCTATATGAGCAATTCAAATAACATTTTGTTTTGAAATCAGTATGACTTAATATATTCCTGCATTCATCCATTAAATGTATTATAAAAATGTATAATGCTATATAACTCCTTTCTCCATCAATCAAAGATTTCCTCTTGTGTAAAATATACCTGTTATTACAGATTGGCGTAAAATTATTGCTGCAAACACATCAGGAAAGTTAAATTTAGTTGTTGGCAATGTATACTGTGAGACAAGAGATGTAGTTCACTGAGTTTCAGTTTCACACAAAACTAAATGGTACGATAACAAACCTACAACAAACTGAGAGTTTCTTGACTTGCAAAATTATCTTTTTAATCAATATGTCGTATATAATATCAAATACGAAGCAATATTCTGTTACTGCGTTGCCTATTTCTCACCCAAAATCATTTCAGAAACATATTTTAGTGTACTGTTTAGCTGTAATACGAGATTGTGTGTGACCAGGCGAGCCACCATTGTTTCTTGCTACGGATGAGTCGAAACTGTGCAACCAGTGAGCGCAGCTCAACTCACAGTATGTCCAACCATCATGGCAATGACCATAATGCCAGATTAGAGGCTTCAAAACGGTACTACACAAACCAATTGGTGACGTCACGGTAAGTTCACACTGCAGGAGGAGTAATAAACACTGAAACATGTACAACTAAGGACTTTGAGAGCTAGTGACTAAATCAATTTGTGGTTTTATACTAGTGTAATGGTGGTGTAGTATAGTAGTACTAGCATAGAAAATAGGTGATGGCTCTGCATTTGATCTGCAGTGTATCAACAGCAGCATCCAGCAGAGGAGCAGCAGGGCTCACAGCTACAGAATCTCTAATGAATACTTTTGGCAGGGATCACTACGCCTGCTTCCTCTGCTATTGATGGGCAGAAGGGAGCAGACAGAATTGTGAAAACATGCAGTGTTAATATATCAACTAAAATACAGCATAAAGTGACGGATATCCTCTGCTTTCATTGTTTGCTGTGGTCTGTGCCTTTCAGAGAGCTCTGCAACCATTCTGTCAGTGTCCTGGGAGACTGCTTCAGTGTGGCAGTTGTTCAGCAACTGTCCAGGAAGGACCTTGAGAAAATGGATGAGGAGTGTGAAGAGGATAAAGAGGATACAGAGGATGCAGTTAGAGGATACAGAGAATACAGTCATCCTAGCTCAGTGGATTTAACATGTAATTCTAGTTGTTCGTAATGATTTTGAGCCAATCTTGCATGATTTTACATAGCCATAGCCATTAGTATTTAAATAAAGCTTTTGTCACATTATATATTCAGTTATACAGAGCTGCTGACTACTGGCAGTGGTGGCTGCATACGTCTGTGTTGAAGCGGGCGAAAGATCTAGTAACTGAGGTAGTAAATGAGAGGCTTGTCATGAGTATTCCTCGCCATGCCAGGCTCAGTAACCCACTAGACTGATACTGACTTGTCCATTTTTGTGACTTAGCACTAGCTAGCTAGATCCTAGCAAGCCAGCTAGGCAATTAGAAAGATGGGCGTGGCATATCAGATTTTGATATGTTATACATTGATATAAATTATATTTCATAATAATACACATAATAACAATTATCCAATTCTTTTAGGTCCCCCAAAGATCCCCAGGTGGCAACGTTGGTTTGGTTCACACAAATCATTTTCAGCTCAGGATGAATTATAATAACTTTGGCCATCTCTGATTCTTCAAGTAACACCATCGAGTCAAAAAATGTCAGCTGGTCCAATGTTTTGGTTTATAAAATCACCCACAAAACGAATCACATTCGCGTCAGCCTCAGCTGTATTAAGTGTTAATATTAGCATGCTAACACACTAAACTAAGATGAACATGGTAAACATTACCTGCTTCACATCAGCATGTTAGCATTGCCATTGTGAGCATGTTAGCATGCTGACATTACCATTTAGCCTAGAAGTACAACCTCACTGAGCCGCTAGCGTGGCTGTAGACTCTAGTATGGTTAAACCATTACCAAGTACCAAGAGCCCATTGACAGTAGACTGCAGCGGCCATGGGCCCTCTCTCTCTCCCCCCATTCCTGTCACTATCCATTAGAGGCAATAAAGGCCAAAAGCATGAGCATGAAATAGTGTTCGCAGGTCATTACAGCTGCCTGTTTAAATGCAGACTGGTCAGTTAAATCTGTTGTTAAAATCAGTCTTCTCAACTTTTACTGCCATACATCCTCCAACCAGGCTTATATAATAATAATAATAATAATAATAATATATAATTTCCAAAAGCTCCCTTTTCCATCGCTGGTAAGGTATTCAGATTTATTCACTCCGGAGACCATTTCCTAAAGCTCGGTTTTTGGTTGAAAAAAAGTGTAAAAAGCTTAGCGTGGACCTACTCTGGATCAGTGGCGGTTTTGACATAGCCCTCTTAATAGTCTAATTTGGCACTTAGACTGCTTTAATGTGATATTAATGTAGTTATTAATTAGCCTTTTAGCAGAATACTCAGGCACATATTTTATCACCTTGTGTGTAGTGGATCTTTAATACATAAGTTGAATTTAATTATCTGTGTATTTGATATGTATATATTCTAATTTATGTTGATAAAAGTCGCTGAGAAACTGCTGACACGTATTGTAGTTGCACACAGGACGTGGAAATGGAGAACAGCTGCT